GACCTAGGGGGGAGCTTGCTGGAGGGCCAGAGTCTCTAAGCGGCAGGAAAGTCAGACGCTGAAAGCTCTGCTGGATAGAAGAAGTCATTCCAAGGTGCCTTCACGCCCAGCCTTGAGTACGAGGGGCATGAAGGCCAGAGGTGGTGGATTTTTAGGGATGAAGAGGGAACTTAATTGTGGGATGACAGGGTGCCTCTGCCCCATCAGTAGGGCCTGACAAAAGAGGGCACCCATGGGTCCTTGCTTAGGTCCTATGTCAGGTTAAATACACCCCTCATGAAGGGGCGCCGTTGATCCTTGGACAGCGCTGTTGTAAGGGCAGACTCGCAGATGGCGGGCAGGCACACAGCGCTGTGGGCTGGGGAGGCGGGAGGGTCTGGGGGGTGGGGGATTGAGGGAAGAGAAGAGAACTCATGGCCATGGACAGCAGTGTAGCGGTGGCTGAGGAGGGTGGTGGAGATGGAGGAGGGCAGAGGGGGGCCCCTCCCAGTTCCTAGATTTCTTCACGCGTTGGCCTTACCTAACTGCCGGGAGGGCTGCACACTGGATCCCATAGAATCACGAGGAGCTGGTTCCTTCTCGCTCTTGGCTCAGTTCCCCAGGGAAGCATAGCAGCTGGAGGAGGCACCTGGGTGTAGGGAGCGGGGCAGGACAGAGGGTGAGCGGCAGGACAGGCTGCTTGTGGACTAATCATAGGCCCAGGCCCCCGGGAGCGCAGGTTCCGCTGTGCGGGTGATGGCTCGTGCGCTTCCTGCTGACCCGGGGCTGAGGACACATGACTCCCCGCGGACACAGCCCGGGAGGCTCTCCAGGGACGCGAGGTCGGGGCCTGGCCTGGTGCCTATGGCTGGAACAGTAGCTCCTCTCTGGAGCCGCAGTCGGATATGGTCACCCCCCTCGGCCATCACTGCCCTGTGACCTGCCGTGTGGTCTCCAGGGACCTCCGGCCCCGCCGCCCTGAGACCTGCTGACGCAGCCACCCTGGCTCCTGCCCCGCGGGGCTCGCAGAGGCTGTGGGAGGAGGTGGGTGCGAGTTGTCTTCGAAGCTCCCTGCCCAGGTTCAGTGGTAGGTGGTTCTAATTTATTCTTTTATTTTTACTTTTTTATTTTTTACTTTTTTATTTTTACTTTTTTATTTTTTACTTTTTTATTTTTACTTTTTTATTTTTTACTTTTTTATTTTTACTTTTATCACCTGAGGATATTTTTCCATTGATTTTTAGAAAGAGTGGAAGGGAGAGAGAGAGACAGAGAAACACCAATGGATTGGTTGCCTCCTGATGCCCCTGAGCAGGGCCAGGAGCCTGCGACTGAGGTGTGTGCCCTTGACTGGAATCGAACCTGGGACCCCTCAGTCCACAGGCCGATGCTCTATCCACTGAGCACAACTGGCCGGAGCGGTGCTTATAATTTAAACTCTGCAGGAACTAGCACCTCTGTCCTCTTAAAATGGGCCGCCAACTCCCGGGCCGTCAGGGCCGGTCAGGTTATTGTACAACACTCTGCGCCAATGGAATAAGCTCGGGCGGACTCCGCCTGCCGGCCACGTGTTTGGGCCTCAGGGGCAGGGAGCAGGGCTAACACAGAGCCTTTGATTTTGTTGTTGAGTCGATGTAAACGAAGGGGCCCCATACCGGGCCCCTTTCTCAGCTTGTACCGCAAAGTGGCTAAGATCACAGCTTTGGAGCTGGGCTGACCCACAGGGCCAAATCCTGACTCTGACTTAGAAGCGAGGTGACCTTGGGCAGGTAACTCAGCGTCTCTGAGCCTCAGTTTTCTCATCCTTAAAATGGGAATAATATTACCTACTTCCCGCGTGGGGGCCGGATGGGCGGAAAGGGCTCCGTACGGGGTGACTGTTCGGATTTAAATACGTTTCACAAATTGCTTTGTGCTGCTTCCTTCCCTTCCCTGCAGCACCCAGTGTGGCCTTCAGCACTGAATTACCCGCCTGAGAAAAAGTGGGCCGAGGGAGTGCCCCTAACAGGGCAAGCCTTTTAAGAAGAGTCCCCTCACCTTCACGAGGCAGAGGCGCCCCAGTGTGGCCTGTCCCTGTGCCAGTCATGCAGACCCGCCCCCCCCCCACCAGCTGTCCTGCCTCCCTCGCTGGCCAGAGGCTGAAGATGGCCACAGACGGGGCCCTCTGGAGTGGACCCTGGCTGAGCTGCCCCAGCTGCACCAAGCGCCCCATCCGATCAGTCCCTCAGGTTGAATGTGATCCTGGGAAGAATCGCAGTGAAAACCAACCCGAATGTTTCCTGTGGCACATCGTCCCTAAATAAATGTGTTCTGTGGATGTCATCCTGTCGTCGTCCCCTGGCTGGGGCGAGAGGAGTGGAACCCTGAGTCAGCCGAGGGGACTGGGAAAGTTTTGGGGGGTTGGAAGTGGGGTATGAATACACCTCTAAAATGTAAGCCAGCGCTTCTTTAAAACACACACACACACACACACACACACACACACACACACAATTGATTTTAGAGAGGAAGTGAGAGGGGGAGAGAGAGAATCATCGATGGGCTGCCTTCTGCAGGCCCACACTGGGGATCAAGCCCACAACTGGGCATGTGCCCTGACTGGAAATTGAACCCTGACCTCCTGGTTCATAGGTGGATGCCCAGCCACTGAGCCACGCCAGCTGGGCACACCAGTGCTTCTTAACTCGGGCTGGGTGCAGAGTGGCTGGTGGCTCTGCGGAGCCTCACAGAGGCCCCGGAAGTCCCGGGTGGAGCGTGGGCATTTGCCTCTTTCAGAAGCGACGCTCACAGGTTGCCAAGGTACGTAGCCATCGACTTAACTGTTGGTCTGAAATGCGAGGTCCCTATACCTCTGGTTACCATGACAAGATTCACTGCGGTTAGTTTTTAAAATCTCTGGTTCTGAGCTCCGATTTCTAGCCCGGGCTCCGCTCACGTCCCCCTCGCCTCCTGTGGGCCCCTCCTCGTCCTCTGTCCCCCGGCCTCCCCTTGGGCTGTCAGGGCGGGGGAACAGGCCGTCACGCTTCCCTGCTTCTGGTACAAGTTCGAGTGGAGCTACCTTTTTCAAAGCGTCCTCTAACTCTAACCGTCAGCGCCCTCTCATCACCACCCACCAGCAGCGCCTCTCCCGCTGTTCTGGGGTCTCCACTTGGAGGCCTCTTCTTGCTCTTGCTCAGCCAGGGCTAAGGGTCATTAAATACTGTCTCCTTGCCCCGGCCAGCTTGGCTCTGCCTAGGGCGTGGGCCTGCCGCCCGCAGGGTCTGGGTTGGATTCTGACCGGTCTCACGTACCTCGGTTGCAGGTTCCTGGTCAGGGCTCGCGCAGGAGGCAACCAATCGATGTGTTACCTTCACATCGATGTTTCTCTCTGTCTTTCCCTCTCTCTTCCACTCTCCCTAAAAATCAATGGAAAAATATCCTTAGGTGAGGATTACAAAAAATAAAAAATATTGTCTTCTTACCTTTAACTCTAAATGAAGACAGTGCCAATAGTTTCACTATGTGCATTGAAGGCAATACCCTGTCCAAGACTTAGCAGCGGGGACACATGGTGACCCGAGGAAGTGGCTTCCTTTCTGGGCTATTAAGCAATGTGTTGTCCTGGCGAGGTGGCCTTTTCTACTTCCTCAAACCCTGGCTGCATAGGGTAGGTGGGGGGACGGTGGTTTCGCAACTGCTGCTCTGGGTCAAAGAGAGTAGCTGGGGCGAGAGCTGGCGGGTGGCCGAGCAGCTCCCACAGGCCCTGCCCTGTGCACACACCCTCCAGGGTCTGACTTGCCCAGATTTGAATTTGATTCTTTCAAGGCTTGGCTTTTATCCTGGGCTCAGCAGCTGTCACTGAGGGGGGAGAAGGAGGAAGCCCACTCCCCCATCCTACCTCCCCACGAACCTTCCTCTTGTCCCAGGATGGAGTCACGGTTGAGAGGAAGCCCACAGCTCTCAGAAACGAGGCTTGCCTAAAACCCGTCTCCCTCCGGGGCCGAGAGGAAGACCTGCTTACCCCTGCGTGCCTTCTCCTGGGATTGTCTGTCACACGCAGGAGCCTGGAGGCCTAGGCGCAGGGAATGGGCTTCGTGGTCCGACGAGCCTAGTTTGAATCCTGCTCTCTCTTCAGCATTGCAGTGTTTACTTCAACTCTCGGAGGCTGTTGTCCTACACAGGCAATGGGGGCGCGGGCATTTTGGGGGGACTACACGAGGTCCCTTAGGGACAGTGCTGGTCCGAGCCTCCACCGCTCCAGTGTAGTTTCCCCAGGGGGTGTTTCTTCTGCTGACTCAGTCCCCATCTCATTCATTTTTTAATTTTTTATTAAAAAATATATTTTTATTGATTTCAGCAAGGAAGGGAGAGGGAGAGAGAAACATCAATGATGAGAGAGAGTTATCCATCAGCTGCCTCCTGCAGGCCCCACACTGGGGCTCGAGCCCCAACACAGGCATGTGCCCTGCCCGGGAGTCGGACTGTGACCTCCTGGCTCACAAATGAACGCTCAGTCACTGCACCACGCGGGCTGGGCTCTCACTCACGTTTTATTCTTTGTGCAGGAAGCTCTTTAACCCAAAATACCCAAGTTCCTCTTCCCATTGGAGAGAGAGAGTTAGGAGCTGAGCTCAGGGAGAGCTTTGCACTCTCAGCGGGACCTTCCGAAGGGCCGGAGGCCGCTGGAGGCGGAGCAGCGAGGCCTCCTGTGGTAGGCCCGGCAGCATCAGTGTTCTACATGAATTTGCTGTATTTTAAGTTCCTAGAAGCACACAGGCCTTTGCCAATAGAAAGCAGCTTAAAGGTGGAGAGGGTGGGGCTGCCCATAAACAATGAAGAATCCAGCCCTGGCCTGTTTGGCTCAGTGGTTGGAGGGTCAGCCTGTGGACTGAAGGGTTGTGGCTTTGATTCTGGTCAAGGGCACGTACCTGGTTGCAGGTTTGATCCCGAGCACCGGTTGGGGCACGTGCAGGAGGCAACCTGTCGATGCATCTCTCTCACTTCGACGTTTCTCTCTGTCTCTCCCCCTCTCTTCCACTCTCGCTAAAAATCAACGGGAAATATCCTCGTGTGAGGATCATGAAGAATCTAGTAGCACCAGAGTCTGGCCTGCCACCGCCGCCAGCCCTGCAGGCTTTCGTTGCTCGCTGCCACCCCACTCTTTTTTCTCTTTGCCGGGTCAGTGTGCTGACATGTCAGCATTAGCCTTTTTAAAAAAAAGTTTTTTGTTTTACTTATTTAATTAATTAATTAATTTTTTATTTATTTTGGTTAATCTTCACCGAGGATATTTTTCCTTGATTTCTAGAGAGAGTGAAAGGGGGAGGGAGAGACAGAGAGAGAGACACATCAATTGGTTGCCTCCTGGGCTGAGGAACCTGCAACCAAAGTACGTGCCCTTGACCAGAATCGAACCTGGGACCCCTCAGTCCGAGGGCCGATGCTCTATCCACTGAGCCACACCAGCCAGGGCTACATTAGCCTTTAAACACACACAAACCCCACTGTGTGTGTGTGTGTGTAAGTGTGTGTGTGTGTGTGTGTGTGTGCGCGCACGGCAGGGGTCAGGCAGCTGCTGAATCAGCTCAGTGACTTAGACCCAAAGCACCTTAGGCTGCAAGTTCCCTCCCACGAGACCAGCGGCCCTCTCCCTAAGGATAAACCCAGTTTCCCAGGACGACCGACCCGTCCCAGCCAGTGGGTTTGCAAATGTGGTCTGGTCTTCCGCAGGGGGGTCAGGCAATCGTTACCACTTCTGTAAAACCAACTCGCAAGACATCTCTTCTCTCTTAAAAAGTGAGGGAACTCGCATTTTCTCAGAAAGCAAAGGCCTTCGTGTGAGAGCAACCGTGGCGTGCCGTCCGGGAACCTTCGGAGCGCCTGCCTGAGCCCCACCTCGGTGCCTGCGCCTCCTGGAGGCAGGTGCAATCCTGTCGGCCCAGCCGCCCCTTCCTCTGTTTTCGTGGCAGGAATCTTATTTTTAAAAATATATATTTTTATTGATTTCAGAGAGGAAGGGAGAGGGAGAGGGAGAAACATGAACGATGAGAGAATCATTGATTGGCTGCCTGCTGCAGGCCTCACACTGGGGATCTAGCCCGCAACCTGGGCATGTGCCCTTGATGGGAATCAAACTAGGACCCTTCAGTCCACTGGCCAATGCTCCATCTACTGAGCCACACCAGCCAGGGCCATGGCAGGAATCTTCTGATACAAACACCTGTGTCTTTCCTGCTCCTGTGCCTGTGCTCTTGGTGCCCCCTGCCTGGATTGCCCTTCCCTCCTGCCGGCCGTCAGCATGCCCTCAGGGCAGCTGAGTCCTGCCCGCCGGGCCCAGCTGCTCTCACACCTTCTGGATCTTTCTGCTTTTCGGAGTGCATCTTCCGAGGCTCTCTAGTTATTTTTATGGGAGCGAGGCTGTAATCTCTCGCAGAGCTCCTAAGCTCTTAGAGACCTATGTCGGGTCAGCAGGGACCCCGTGGGGACAATCCGTCCTTGAACAGTTCCCAGGGCCGGAGAGGCCCCGCGTGCCCAGGAGCCGCACCTGCTCCCACCTGGCCCACCTGTGCGAGGCTGTGTGAGGCCAGGGTGGCAGGGTGCTCCCTTTCTCTGGATGTAAAACAGGCATTTGTTCATGCGCATTTGCTGGGGGACGAGGCCAGGCCCAGCACGGACTCAGAACTGTAAGACACATCCCTGTCCTCACAGAGCTCAGTCTGCCTGGGAGGTGGGGAGTGTCAACAAAGAGGACAGCACTCTCCGCTGGTCGGCACGGGCCCGAGAAATGCCAGGAGCGCCTGTGTCCGTCCTTGGCAACGGGCTGTGCTCCTCGCTCTGTGGAGAGCTTAGGCCTTTGTCTCCCCATCTGGACTGGGAGCTCTCGGGGCGAGCTGTGGCTCACTCGTTGCTGGGTCTCCAGTTTCCAGCTGGGTGCCTGGCACGTACGGGGCATTAAATAGATATTCGAGTTTGTTGGATGAGGGACTTGATAAACAAATGAGTGAGTGTTCCCCGTGTCACAGGAGCAAAGAGAGAGGAGGTGAGTAGAAGACGGGAAGTTGGTGACCCTGCAGCAGATACTTAAAGGAAGACTAGGAGTTGGCTGAGCAGGCAAGAGAGTGTTACCGGGAAGCCCCCGGGCGGGCTCCGGCTGCCTGTCGCTGTGGCCACTCACGAAGGAGGGATTGAATCATATGAGGCGTTTATTGGGGCCAGCCAACCAAGAAGACAGGGCGCTTACAAGCATCAAATCCTGCCTTCCTGCAAGGCACAGGGGGCAAGAGTATATAGGGGAAGGGGCTGGGGTGAGGAGTACAGCTACGTGCAGGCCGGGGGGCCCGCAG